CCCGCTGCTCCCCTCAGCAGTGTATTCCCTGCTCTGTCTCTGGTGAATCATCTCACCCACCGCATCTCTGGCTTGTACCCCAGTTCTGTGTGTGTAAATAAATATATCTTTAAAAAAAAAAAAGATTAAAAAAAAGATTTATTTATTCATGCATACAAAACTGGGGTACAAGCCAGAGACGCAGGGGCAGTGAAAGGATCCACCAGAGACAGGGTGAGGACTAGAACAGGCAGATGTATAAAGTACACTGCTGAGGGGAGCAGCAGGTGAGACACGAGAGGTCTGTTGTACCATGTGGGTCACCTCTGGGGCCGGGAAGCAAACTCACACTGAATCAGCTGTGGCTAGCTTGCAGTGGTGCATCCTAACCCGTTGTGCCACCAGGGAGAGCCCTGCATTTTTTTTTTTTTTAAGATTTATTTATTTATATGTACAGAACTGGGGTACAGGCCAGAGGTGAGGGGGTGAGAGGATTCACCAGAAACAGAGTGGGGAACAGAACAGGCAGATCTACTGAAACACACTGCTGAGGGAGCAGTAGTTGGGTCAGGAGAGATCTGACACACCATTTGGGTCACCTCCCTGGCTGGGGATTGAACTTATGTTGCAGTAGCTGTGATAGTTTCATAGTGCTGTGCTTTAACCCATTGCACCATCAAGGAAGCCCTAATTGCTTTTTTAAAAAGATTTATTTGTTTATGCATACAGAAATGAAATACAGCCAGAGGTGCAGGGGCGGCAAGAGGATTCACCAGAAACAGTGGTGAGCAGAATAGGCAGGTCAACAAGTACGCTACTGAGGGGAGCAATGAGCAGGAAAGATCTGCCTTGCCATGTGGATCACCTCCAGGGTGGGGCTCGAACTCACAGTGAAGCCACCACAACTCGGCTTAACTTTGAAAATGCAGCGCTCCAACCCGCTGCACCACCAGGGAGGGCCCCTTAACTTGCTTTTAATCCCATCTGAATCTTTTTCATCTTCATAATGTGACTTATATCTAGAAATTTCATTTTTATATCATCCTTGTCCCTATTAACAGTTGTAATAACTGCTTTACTGACCTTGTCTGCAAATTCTGACATCTGCAACAGTTGCAGATCAGTTTTCTTTAAAAAGTATTTATTTATTTATGCATACAAGAACCAGAGGCACAGGGGTGGGGATGGGGGTGAGAGATTCACTGAAGACAGAGTAAGGAGCAGAACGGGCATATCCACTGAAACACACTGCTGAGGGGAGCAGCAGGCAGGTAAGGATAGGTCTTTAATGCCTTGTGGGTCACCTCCCCTGCCAGGGATCGAACTCCCCTGCTGGGGATCGAACTCATGCTATGCTTTAACCCATGGCGCCACCAAGGAGGGCCCAGCAGTTACAGATCAGTTTGATTTTTTTTTTAAAGATTTATTCATTTATTCATACAGAACTGGGGTACAGGCCAGAGATGCAGACGGTGGGAGGATTCACCAGAGACAGAGTGGGGAGCAGAACAGGCAGACTGACGAAGTACACTGCTGAGGGGAACAGCGGGCAGGGCAGGAGAGGTCTGGCTCGCCATGTGGTCACCTCTGGGGCAGGTGGGGATTTAACTCATGCAGAAGTGACTTAAGCTTCTTAGTGCTGTACTTTAACCCGCTGCGCCACCAGGGAGGGCCACAGATCAGTTTTAATGGATTGATTGAACTCCTTTCAGTGAATACAGGGCTGTGTTTCCCTGCTTCTTCACTTGCATGGTAACTTTTTGATTGGGTGCCAAATATTTATGGATTTCCATCTTGTTTGGGGCTGAATATTTTACTATACTTATAAATTGTCTTAAGCGTTATTCTGGGACACAGTTAACTTAATCAGAATCAGTTTTATCTTTTCAGGCCTTATTTAGGTAGGCAGTCCAGAAGTTGTAACCAGCCTTTGGGTGATTATTTTCCACTACTTATGCAAGATTTTTTTAAAAAGATATATTTCTTATATGCGTACAAGAACTAGGGTACAGGTCAGAGGTGTGTGTGATGGGTGTGTGTGTGAGAGAGAGGTTTCATGAGAGACAGAGTGGGGAGCAGAACAGGCAGTTTGACTGAAATACCCTGCTGAGGGGAGCAACGGAAAAGACAGGGGAGGCCTGCTAAGCCATGTGGGTTAACTGCCTGGCTGGGGATTGGACTTAAGATGCAGTGGCTGTGGATAGCTTCATAGCACTGCACTTTAGCAAACCCTTGTGCCCCAGGTAGGCCCCCAGGCAAGATCTTTCTGTCTATTCTTCCGAGTGCCCCTGACTGTTGAGATTCTACCAGGTGGCTCCTGGGAACAAGCACTGATCACCCTTTGTGAGCGCGTCTTCCCTGATCATTCTGTTTGGTTCTTCCCAGCCATGGGTGGTCTCCTCACACATATGACCAAAAAGATATCTAGGTTCTCTGTGACTGTGTTCCTTTGTCTCTGACACATGAACTCTTGCTGCCTGGTCTCCTCAGACTCTCAGCTCACTTCATCAGCTAGGAAATCTCTTTGACTTTGCCTAGACCCCCTCCCCATGCAGCATCCTAGATTTCTAATCCCGGGTCCCACCTCATTTCTTTCCTGTCTCGCAGAGGTCACTGCCCTTTGTATTCTGAGGCTCAGTATCTAGAAATCCATTATTTAATATATTTTGTCTGGATTTTTGGTTGTTATAGATAGGAAGTAAGCCCAGATACTATTGCTTGAAGTTCCACTCACTTTTTTATTATTGATATATATCTATATCTATGTATGTATGTATGTATCTATCTATCTATTAAGATTTATTTATTCATACAGAACTGGGGTACAAGCCAGAGGTGGAGGGGTGATGAGACAGAGTGGGGAGCAGAACAGGCCGACTGATGAAGTACACTGCTGAAGGGAACAGACCTCAGGAGAGGTCTGCCATGCCATGTGGCTCACCTCTGGGGCAGGGATCGAACTCTCACTGAAGCATTTGTGGCCAGCTTGCAGTGCTGTGTCCTAACCTGTTGCGCCACCAGGGAGGGCTGATTTATATATTTCTTATAGAGTCTGGATTTGAGTTGTATGGATAAATATATTGCCTTCCTATTTTCCTAATGATATCCTAATGAAAAAATCAGAATATTTTATTTTAACAATCTTTTAATCTACTTTTTCTTTTATGTTGTGTTCCTTTTGCATCTTAGCCATAAAATGTGAGCCTACTTTATCCCAAGACCATACAGATATTTTCTGTTTGCTTCTAGAAACCTCCTGATTTGGGGTTTTGTGTTTGACTCTATGATTTACCTCAAACTTTTGTAATTTTTATATATGGTGCCAGGTAGGGGTTGCAATTCATATCCTTACCCTCCACCATATTTCCAGTTGTTCCAGATCATTTATTAGATGGGTTTTCTTTTACCTGTTGCATTACTTGGGTTTATTCTAAATGCAATGGTCCCATTGATCTGCTTGTATGTCTTGATGCCAACAACCACACTCTTAATTACTGCAGCTTTTTATCAATAGTAAGTCTTGAATCAGGTAGAGTAAGTCTTCCAACTTTGTTCTTTCTCAGGACTGCTTTAGACATCTTAGTTCTTTTATGTGTGCGTATACATTTTAGAGTCAGCTTGTTAATTTCTATTGAATTATTTATTTAAAAAAAAACAAAAAACAACAAGGCCCTCCCTGGTGGCGCAGTGGGTTAAAGCACAGCACTATGAAGCTTATCGCAGTCATTGTAGCACAAGTTTGATCCCTGGACAGGGAGCTGACCCACATGGTGCAGTAGACCTATCCTGACCCTCCCACTGCTACCCTCAGCAGTGTATTTCAGTACATCTGCCTGTTCTGCTCCCAACTCTGTCTCTAGTGAATACTCTCACCCCCTGTACCTCTGGCCTGTACCCCAGTTCTGTATACATAAATAAATACATCTTGAAAACAAAAACATGCTGGGATGTTTGATTGAGGCTTGTTGATTCTTTTGGTCATTTGGGATGAAGTATCATCCTAACAGTGTTGAATCTTAAGTCAACAAACAGGGCATATCTCTTTTTCAGGTGTACTTGATTTTTCTCAGCACTGCTCTATAGTTTTTGAGTCTTTAGGCATTATACATTTTTCTTCTTTTTTTTTTTAAGATTTATTTATTTATTCATACAGAGCTGGGGTACAGGCCAGAGATGCGGAGGGTGAGAGGATTCACCAGAGACAGAGTGGGGAGCAGAACAGGCAGATCGACGAAGTACACTGCTGAGGGGAGCAGCGGGCGGGTCAGAAGAAGTCTCCCTCACCATGTGGTCACCTCCGGGGCAGGTGGAGCTCGAACTCATGCGGAAGTGACTTAAACTTCTTAGTGCAGTGCTTTAACCTGCTGCGCCACCAGGGAGGGCCATTTTTCTTCTTTTTTTTTTAAGATTTATTTTATTTATTTATGCATATAAGAACTGGGGTCCAGGCCAGAGGTGCAGGGGGTGAGAGTACTCATCAGAGACAAAAGTGGGCAGCATAACAGGCAGGTTACTGAAATACACTGCTGAAGGGAACAGCAGTGAGATGAGAGGTCCTCTGTGCCAGATGGATTAGCAGGAATTGAACTCAGGCCACAGCAGTGATAGCACTGAGACTTAACCCCATAGGCCATCAGTGAGGCCCATTTTTATTTTTAGTAGCTTCCTTTTGGATGTTCATTACATGCTATTCTTTCATTTATAAATATTGTTTCTTTTTTTTTGATCTGTATATCTTTTATTGCTGTAATTTATTGCTATAAAAACAAGCTTTAATGACTCAGTCATTTGTAACCCAGCCTTCAAGTAAAATGACCCTCTCGTCTAGGTAGGTGATCTCATGTAGCTCTAAGGGCTCTCTGACACTATGGTGAGGCCCCATGGACTATGGAGTCTATGACCTGAGTCTGTGCTGTGGGAATAGGGAGGGTGAGCAAAAGTGGTGGGAGAGCCTGGATATGCACTGGGTTCCTAGTAATGAAACCCCTAATGATACAAGCTATGCAACTTCTATCGACTGACAAATTCTGGATAGATTGGGAAAAGCTCTGAAAAATCAGAATTTCCATTGCTAACTTATGTTATAACCTCTCTTTTTTTGTATAATCATAATATCAAAATATTCTGAGCAACCATCAGTTTACAACTGGATTATCTTAGCTTCATAAAGTGGCTGCCTAGCCCAGCCAAGCTGCCCCAGGCCGGGAAATTCCTCTGTCTCTCCTGAGACAAAAGGCAAGCCCCCCAGAGAAGTAAGGCATAAAAACTCCTGGGAAGCTTTCTTCTTTTCTTTAAAATAAAAAGCAAACCTCAGATAAGACTCCAGAGCATAAAGATTCAAGGACAATTTTAACCTTGATTACACAGGTGTTGCCTAATGCACAACTGTACAACTTTCCCTTAATTTACTCCTTTTTAAAATAAGCACTAGCTACTCTCTGCTAGCCTTAAATTAGTCACCAGCTTTTCTTTAGACAACCACTGATAACTCTGCTAACACAATTTATTACTTCCCTAAGACCCCTAATAACCTTTTGCTAACGAGCTCATCCCTTCCTAGACCCCTCTTCCTTTGGGTGATAACTGAACATCTGTACAAATGACATTATCACAAAAAATGATAGTGTACCATAAAATGTTAAGAGAAAAATGCTTTGTTCCCCTTGTCTTTGAGAACGTTTTATGTCGATCTGTCATTAACTTACCCTATGCATTATTGCAATTAACTACTTGCTACACTGTATAAATAAAGACCTGCTGAGGGAATGAGCAGGAAGACTTGCTCCCAACTCTGACTCCCGTGTCTTCCTCATGCC